CCCCTTGGCTTTACCTTCAACTCTTAATCTCCACCACTATCTTAATGGCGGAGGAAGCTCTCTTCTCTGGGTGGAAGGATGACTAGGAAGGACCTTTCTACTAAACAGGGCAGAAGCCTTTTTTCTGGGAGGAGATTTCCCCCCTCCCCAATCACTCTCATTTTGAGGGCAGGGGCTCGGTACCTCCTCCATCCCTTCCACACACACCCCCAATGGGCATCCCATTCACAGCTCTGCACTGGCAAGGCTCAGATGAGCTCTTCAAACAGAATCCCTCGGGAATCTGACCCTGGGGGCTCAGACAAGAATTGAGAATGCTTTGCCATCTTTTGGAAGCAGACGCTGCGACTCTGGGTAATCTGGAAAGGAAAGGAAAGCTGGGATGGAACAGGCAGTGATTTCAAAGAGAATTGTTAACGCTGGGCCTATGGTCAGGCTCGTTAGCTCAGTGAAGAAGGATGTGTTTTTCAGCTCCGAGTCCAGGGATTAAACCTAGAAAAGGAAGAGGTCTTTTGTTCCCGAAAGTGGTTGCCAGCGCTCCAGAAGGGAGAGGCAAGCTGGCAGCCTCCCGCCCCCGCCGCCTCCCAAAGAAACGTCACAGGAGACAATTCAACAAGACAAAATGGCCACCCCATTAGAAAACACTCCGCTCAGAGCCTGCAGCTCCTGCGAGACTGGCAGCGATCAGGAGCCTAGCGAAAGGCTAATAAACAAAGATGTCAAAGACTAGGACGGGTGCCAGTCCTTTGCCCTTGTCTAGACCCCGGTCAGCCAAGAACACCCAACCACTTCACGGTCAGTTGAACAAGCCACACAGGTAGGACAGCATTAGCCTCAATCCAGAGCTGGGTTGGCCAAGGCACAGGGCGGTGACGTCCCTCACCCACACTGAGCAAACACCTTCAGAGTAGAAATCAGGCCAAGCAACGGTCATGTTTAAAGATGGCGGCTAACAATGGTGAGGGGGCCTCAGAGATGCACTCCTCTGCCTCATAAGATCCAGATTTCCGCTCTAGGGGCCTGATTTTCAGAGAAGACGAGCACCTACAGATATCGCGGCCTTCAGCTGGAGCTGTGGGTGCTCAGCCGCTTCTGAAAATTAGGTCCCAGGTCAAGGAGGCTTGAAAGTAGCCACTGCTAGCTGATGGCAGCTGAGATGTCTCCATAACGCAAGTCGATGGTTCTACGCCCAGGTCAAAATGGACAAATATCCACCATTCTCTTAGCAGCCGCCTCAGCAGAGCGGCCAAGGATCGACTGGGCAACAGAGACCAAGGTGGGGCAGAGGTGAGCTCCTAGCTGAGGGGGAAGCACGTTGGTGTGAGGTCAGGTACTGGGGAAGCTTGCCACATTGCCCAAGCTGTGTGGCACGGGAGACGGCATGCTGTACATGGACCTTCAGCCTCTCTGGCTCTCCAGTCAGCACGGAGCTCACATGCAGTTGCACAGCGGGAGAAGAAAAAAAATACCCTTGTTACCGTGGGGTTGATGAAGGGTGACATAACAGCGCCTGCGAATCCTGCAAACGGGGGTTCTGTGTTTAGAGACACACAAGGAAAGGTGAAACTTCTTTTTCGAATGCTTTGGACAGTTCCACTGTCATGTGAAAAGTCGGAGCGTTTAAGACCCCAGGGTGTGTAGTTTTTCTCTTGACTAACTCACAGAGATCTGTTGTTATTCAAAGAACATGTTCCATTCCCCCCTCGCCAGTGTGAAGCAAACAGCTAGGAAATTAAAAACATCAAGCCAAAAACCAAGACCAACCTGGGGTGTGGGACGGAATCAGCTGGTAAACTGACTGCCCCCTCCATGGAAAACAAATGAAAGGAGGTTTGTGCAGGATAGGAAGGAGGGGTCTGTGAATTCGGATGGAGAGCACTGGCAGCCTGTGTGGTAGTAAAGGATCAGGAGCTAAATGCCTCAAGGAAGAAATGTTCCTTTATAAATATATATTTAGGGCTTTGTTTGTTTCTTAGGCAGCCAGGATCAATGGAAAGTGACTTCACAGCAGAGAAATGAGGACACTGTGAGCAAGGGCAGGGGGAGTTTAAGAGTTCACCTCCTCCGGAAACTTCCTCTGTGGACTGAGTTGTTTACATGGGGTTGAATTTTTCACAGGGACAGATTTGCCAAGGCTCCGCACCCACAACTGGGGCTGGACCTTCCAAAGAGCTCAGCTGCAAAAAGCGCTCGGAGACATTTGCAGCTAGATTTTCGGAAGAGTTCAGGAGCAGTGGTTGGTAACGTCCCACTAAGAAGTTTTTCCCTGGGAAAGGGGCATTAAGACTCAATGGAAATGTCTGTTTTGATTGAAAATTTCTGTTTTCTCATTAAAAAACAAAAATTTCCCAGTCACCAAAAACTACCTTGTAGAGTTGGTTTGTTTTGTTATGAAAACCTGCCAAAAAAAAATAAAAAGAAAAAATAAAAAAGAAACATTTTGACAAAAATGAAAACAAAAATTGTCATAAAAATTTGTGCCTGGTAAAAACTAAATCAAATCATGTCCTGGCCAGCTTGAGAGCTCAACACTCAGCCGGTGAGAAAATATGGCCACTTACTTAGCCGCTCAAACTGAGCTATACGTTATGTGGCACGCGATCGCCGTGGGATTCGACGGGTATTTGAGAAGAGCAGCACTGCTCCGTGAGAACACGGCTGGCATGCTCTGATCTCTAAACAGAGGCTGAAAATTTTGGCCTTCATTTGTGCCCAATGGGAGGGCTAGGGGGTGCAGCAGGCATCCCTTAAGCCCAGGAGGATGGGAAAGGACCACCCCCTCGTTATTATTTCAGGCTGGGGTTTCTGAAGGATACTAAGCAATAGAGGGTCCCAACTTCCTTTGAAATTCAACAGGATCAGACACCTAATTCCCCTGGACTCCTTGGAAAGTATTACCAGAGCTGGTCAGGAGTTTTTTTGACACATTTATTTTTCATCAGAAAATGCCAATTTGTCCAAACCAAAACTTTTTGCAGAAACGTATCGGTTTTGATGCAAATTTTGTTAGGTTCATGATGGAATTTCTCTCTCTCTGGCCCAAAGAATATTGAACTATTTGTATAAAATGAAAACAGGAGAGACCGAGTCTGTAGCCTGGGATGCTCACCTGGGATGTGGGAGTCGGGACTTGAACCTGAGTCTCCCACGTCCCCGATGAGACGACTGCTCTGACCATCAAGCTATTGGCTGGCGTGGGGTAGGAGATTCTCTGGCTCTGAAAGGGCTAATTTTTGTTCCAATCACAACAACAAGAACTCTCAAAATCTTGACATTTTTCACAAATTGGAATTCTTGTTTCCAGCCAGCCCTACTCATCCTCCTCCTTCAGGACTCTCCTTTGTCATGATGCCGAAAAAAACTTGGCAATGGTCAGGCCGCAGACAAAGACGTCTGCCTGTCACCCTGACCAACACTGTCTCATTGTTTCCTTGTACTCCCCCGTCAGTCTGTCTCCGTCTGTTGTTGCTCGGTTTGTATTTAGATTGAGCGTTTTTGGGGGCAGGGACGGTCTTTTTGTTCAGGTATTCGTATAGCGCCTGGCACCATGGGATCCTGGTCCAGGACTAGGGCTTGTAGGCACCATGATAACACAAATAAATAAATAATAATAATAATAACGAGTTCTCCCAGGTGATATTCACCCCTAGGCAGAAGGCCGGCACAAGGCCTAGATCCCTTAATTCCCATTGACATTCATGGCTGGGACTCCCAGAATCCCGCTCCCCCATCCAGGTCCAACTCCAGTCTCCATAGGCTAAACTCCTGCTCCTTCTGCTGGTTTGCTGTCATTCTGTGGCAGAGAGGGGCCTGAAATGAGCTCCCAGAGCCAAATGCCCCCCGACGCAAGAGAAGTTGAGCCACTGGACAGAGTCCCCAGAGAGTCGCAGGTGTTTGACAGGAATTCCTCACTTCCATTAACCATCCAAGAGTTTCCTCTGATTATCATCCATTGCTTTGCACTCCCATCCCCCTCCCAGGTCTTCTCCTGCTCTCCTCAGCCCTTCACCCCAGGAGACTGCTGATGCTCAGGGCTCTGTCTTGTCTGCCCTTTTCCCCGCTTCAGAAACCCACCTTCCTTAAGATCACCAGGAACCACGAGGTGTTTGGGCTGCAGCCACTGGCTCTATGTGTCTGGGCAATTCCTGGGGGTTTAGGGATCAGTGGAAGGGACTCTTCTAGAGGCAGGTGTGAGCATGTGCGTGGGGTAGGTCAGTAACAATGCAAGAAAAGCTGAGGCTTACCTTCTGCAAGACAGCCAGGGGCCTCTAGCGTCCATGTGGGCAGTAAGGTAGCTCCTTCCCTCCCTGGATCCCCCAGACTTTCATCCTTGCCTTGGAGTTATACAGCCAAGCCAGCCAGTCATCGAGAGCCACTCAAAGCATTGCAGGTAGAAGACAATGACATTAATCTCTTCCTGACCAGGCAATTCCTCGTAGGCAGGAAAAGTCCAGCCCACCCTAGGCCTGGGGAGGTGTAACCTGTCTCTGTTGAGTCCTCGCTGTCTCTATGCAGATCCTGGGCCAGATTGAGTTTGTTTTCTCCTGTCCCCATCGATGCCTGTGGAAAGTTTGCATCTTGACCGTGCGTTGCAGGCACACACGCATCTAGGCCGTTCTTACGTGCCGTGTTGTAGGTCGCATTCCAGCTGAGAGAACAGAACCCTCTCGGCTATGCTAAGTTCAAAGCCTGCGTGTTCCAATGTTCTTTATTTCTCCCCTGAACTAGGCATGCTTCTTTCCATCCCTCTTCCCTGGCTGGGACTGGTGCAGAACTGCAGCCATCGGAGGTGGCCGTGGTTTGGTTTTCTTCCTCTTCTGCAAAAGGCTAAAGAAAAACAAACCAACAAACAAAGAGATGGTTAAACAATGTCCTGGTAGAAAGTGAGAAGTAAGCTAGGTCTCCGGACATTATCCAGATTACAGCCCCATTGTGCTGGGCTCTGTACAAACAAAGTCCCTGCCCTGAAGTGCAAAGAGACGGGACAGACAATGAGTCCTGATTTCCTGAGGCACAGACCCAGTAAATGACTCACCCCCGTCACACAGGGAGTCTGCGGCACAGCTGAACACTGAAGTCCAGTATCTTACCCACAAGCCCATCTCCAAACACCACAATAAATCTGACCCGAAGACGAGCTCTGCGTAGCTCCGAGGCTTGTACCTTCCCCCAACAGACGCTGGTCCAATAAAAGATATTAACTGGCCCCCCTTGTCTGTCACAATGAATATATGGCATTTACCTAGCACCTCATCTCCAAAAAGATCCCAAAGGGCTTTTCAGTCCTAGCAAAAGGTATCTGCGCCTCAATTCGCCCACCCCTGAAAAGCAGTCACCTTCCAGAAGAGACGTGTTTAACATCATGGGGCAATCCTAGATATTACCTTAGGTCAGGAAGTAAAGAATACTGTATCCAGTTGAAACTACATGCAAATCTTAGAAGCAGAATTTGGCCAGGACAATGGGATTGATATACGCTCCTGGTCTTGTGGGGAGAGGTGAAGTGACTTGCCTCAGGTTGCAAAGCAGGCCAGTGGCAGAGTCAAGAAGAGAACCCAGGTGTCCTGACTCCTAGCCCAGTGTCGGATCCATTAGATAACAGCTCTGCCTCTCACCTAGTCCTGTATTCCTACTACCAAACTGATATCACACTTTACAGCATCAGGATGCTTCCGTGCAAGGTCTCCTACCCCCCACGGGAGGCAGCTAAGCTACAGAAGTGCCATCTTGATACTGCAAACTCTGATTTTGCCCATCAGAACAAGATGTTTTGCAGATTTTCCCCTGCTCCCACAAGCCTCGGGCAGCCAAACTCCAACCCTGGTCTCTAGTTTCGGAAAAATTAAAAGAGTCACCCAAGCTTTGCAATGAACCCCATCCGGTTCTCTGGGTTAGGCCTTGGCAGAATCAACAAAAATGCCTGCAGGGTACATTGCCACCTAAAAGTTATACAACGAGCAGCCAGGTGAGTGGAACGTGGGGAAATCGTGGCAATAGGGGAATTATTGGACAAGCATAGACCCTTTCTTGAAAAGCAAAATGGATGAAGAGTCAGATATCTGATGTTCCTTTTCTCAGATCAACGGATCATACTTTGGTTACCCACCCTATTAAATATGTGGCTTTAATTGTTTTGCTAAATCCCAAACTGCTTGTAGGGTGATATCTGACCATGAGCATAGATCATCTCCTCTAAGGTACAATGCCGCTGGTCTTTATATAGATAGTGTGGGGGGTTGTGTGTTACATGATAACACTCCCTGCCTGGAAACAAGACCTGAGATGAGAGAGTTCCACCTTAGGGCTTCCGTTATGGATGGGGGCTTTTTCCACGTCTGCTGTACTTATTGACAGAGAGAGACTTTGGAACAGGGCTTCTGTTTGGCCTGTTCATTTCAAGAGGCAGGCAGAGGCTGGATTTTGAGAAGAGTTCTCTGGGGAATTCTCCACGAGTGTCGCTCTGTGGCAGTGATGTCAGAGACCGGGGAAGCTCAAATGGCAGTTTCTCATGCTGAGACTCCTTCCCAGAAATCGTGCAGTTTAGGGCTTCCAGTTAAATGAGCCCCTGTTTTATTTACCTGAAGACAATTTCACATGCCCAGATTGTCCTTCCAGAGCCCGGAATTGAGGTTAGCCTCCTCCCCATGGCATTCACAGGAAGGTGAAGAGGGGAACTGTGCATTTAACCCTTGGAGGGCTAACATTTTCTAGCCTACCAGCAAGATGCAGGCTTAAGAGGGCTAAATGGAGAACATGCTCCAGGCGCTGTCTGTCCAGAGCCGTAACATTTCACCAGGATGCATAGTTTTGGAAGAGATCCAAGACAAATTCAGATCTGGATGCAGCGACACTGACTTCAAGGGAGTTACACCTGCTTGCAGCAGGCCTGAATTTGGCCCACAGTAAGAGATCTGGACACACCCAGCCTGGTACCATCTATCAGCTGTTGGACTCAACTCCGCTCCCAACGGAGAGACCCACAGCACAACTCCTGCATTGTCCAACCCAGCTGGAAACCTCTGCAAACAAGTCATTGATAGTACTGTACATGGAGGCCATGAGTTCAAATCTCCACCCCAGAGCCACTGGGATTTGAAATCCTAGCAGAAGCCAACCAAGCTGTATCCAGGGGGCAGAGGCCATCGCCAGGAAGGGGGTTGGGAGAAGAGGTCAGACTGAGGGAGAAAGCAGTTCCAAATGTGGC